AATTGTGGTGCACCAAAAAGAAGACAGCCTGTTAAGCGTCTATCCCCTGGGTGCCGTGGCTTCGATAGTTACTTCTTCGAAGCAGAGACTACTTGAAACCGTTTGGATCTGCCCCGCCCGCCTAGGTACCGAATAGGCAGGATAACGGATCTGCTTTTCGTGTCTGCACCCCCTTTGACCACCACTCACCCGCGCCCTGCATCTCCTAGGGGACGTGAAGCGAATAAACGACATCGCCGTACGGGCGCCGTGCACCGGCATGATCATTGTCGGAGGCGGATTGGTGAAGCACCACGTCTGCAACGCGAACCTTATGCGGAACGGGGCTGACTTTGCGGTTTTTATTAACACAGGTAATCTACCGTGGAGTTTTCCGTGTCGGTGGTGGTTTGGTTTCTGTTCCGAGCCGAAGAGCTCATTCATCGGAGCAGTTGCTCTACTTACGGAGCATGCGCGGGGAGAAAGCTTTGCTTGGCCAGGCCATGGGGTCGTTGCTTTGAGGAATGCCTTCCTTCATTTAAACCCGCACGCTTGGCGAGGAAGATCGTGATTACTGCCGCCTGCCCTGGCCATTGGGCACTGCTGTTGAGGCCAACTTGAGTAACGTAGAGCGTTGTCCCTTTGTGAAGCATGTACTCATTGATATCGCGAAAAGAGAGCTGTCAGACGTCGGAAGTTACTCTACTCTTGAACCACCGTAGAGACAGGCAGTTCCGTCTCACCTGGTACATACGTGGACAGGCCTCAAGACTTAAAGAGACAAACGCAAAATAGGAGTATTAGCCCCATTAGAGTAGTCCACGTGCCACCATCATCCCCGCCTTGGGCTTTCTTTCGCGTTCAGAAGGAAACCACGGCCTGAGGTGGTGATTCGACGGCTTTTCTCTTGGGTGCACACATCCAGGTCAAGAATATGACGGCAGCGACTCCGGGGCGCGGCCGGACGAGGCGGTGTCGTGGGGCAAGATCAAGCTCGACGCTAAACCTGTAAAGGTGGGTAACCCTCCCCCCCCCCCC